ACCACCGCTACTGCTGTCATTAATTGTAATAAATTGTGTTACATTTGTAACCATTAATATTTCTGGCTTTCTGTTGTAATCGTCACTTATGCTTAAACTTTGGTCGCCCCAATCACTTGTAATATATCATGTTACATTATCATTGACATTAGAGTTAGTTGTCTCAATGGTCATTGAAATTATGTCTATGTTTTCAGCTGCTCGCTGAAATTTAAGATGTCGAGTTTTGATCATTGAACTTATCAAAACGTTGGACATTAATCACTAACTTAACATTTGTTCTAATTCTTTAATGAAATTAGTGACTTGGCTAACGGAATATATACGTGGTACCCGTCACACTGTTAACAAATTGTGAGGCCTTCAATTGCTTACAAAATTTTGGAAAATATATTCGATTGCTCACTAAACATTGAAAAACGTCTTTAATTGCTTACTAAACTTTGAAAAATGTCTTCGATTGCTCATTGAGCTTTGAAATTGTTGAATTTTGACCACTAAACTTAAAAAAATGATGTCGACTTATTGTTCGTTAAAAAATATGTGGTGCAATCACACGGATCGGGTAAAAGTAATAAAGTGGACAAAAGAATTCATGTTGTCGATTCCACGAGAAATAATTACCCAATTACACAATCGTTAATTTTCATTTTAACATTTATTGCAGAATTTTAAACTATATTCATCATTTGAAAAATTCAAATTTATTGTATATCTCGTTGTTAAAATTATATTAATATTTAGATTTTACAACCAAGCATACAATAAATTTAATTAAATGAATTTCATTTGCTTTTGGTCCCTCCAAGAAATGGATTGTGTTTCGTTACAAAAATTCAAATTTTAGTTAAATTTATTGTATATTTCGTTGTAAAATCCATTAAATTAAATTTATTATGTTTCGTTGCAAAATTCAAATATTAATTTAATTTTAACAACAAAACACACAATAAATTTAAATTCTATGAATGATGAAAATAGTTTAAAATTCTACAAAATATATTAAAATTCAATTTAACTATTGTGTAATTGAGTAATCATTTCTTGTGAAATCAACAACCTAAACTCGTTTGTCCACTTTATTACTTTTACGCAACCCGTGCAATTGAGTTGCATGTTTTATCAATGAACTATAGGTAGGCATCATTTTCATAAATTTAGTGGCCAAAGTTTGACCACCTCAAAGTTCAATGAGTAATCGATCGCTTTTTTCAAAGTTTAGTGAATAATCGGAAGCCATCTTCAAAGTTCAGTGAGCGATTAAAGACATTTTTCAAAGTTTTGTGAGAAATCGAAGACGTAACAATTTGTTAACAGTGTGACGGAGCGCCACGTGTATATTTTTTTAGTCAAGTCACTAATTTCATTAAAGAATTAGAATGGATGTTAAGATAGTGAGTTTACATCCAAGTTTTGATAAGTTTAATGGTCAAAACTAGACATCTTAAATTTCAGTGAGCGTTTCAAAGACAGAGACATAAATTCAGTGACGTGACATCACCTCTAGTGACTACCTCCCCAAACCCAAGAATCACCTCCATTAGTCAAATTGAACGCCAACAGCACCAATACCTCCCCGAACTGAACGAAGGTTGTCGCCTTCCCAAAAGTTCACCCAACTCTGCTGCGCCAATCGATTTGAAAATTGGAAGAATTAATTGAAAAAGATCGATTGATAAAACTAACCAAAATGAACTGGCAGAGGGGGAATCCGAGGTGGTGGTCATGATGTAAAGACAATGACAAAAATGAATTAGTAGAGGCAGAGGAAGATGAAGAGGCCATTTGAATGAACGGGTTTCAAATCTAAACTCAGGTGGTGTAAGCCTTGAAAGTCAAGATTATTTTAAAATTTCTTTCTTTCCAGAAATGGCCAAAGAAATCGAGATTTAAATAAATTAGTGAGGGATGCAATTAATATATTTTGATTTATTTGAGAACCCAATTTATCAAGGTCAGGAAGTTATTCAAGGTCCAAAACGACAAAAACTCAAAGTTAATGGGCTACTTTTTCATTATCAGATAGCCATCTTTAAAATGTAACATTATCGAATCGTACATTTAGAGTTGAATTTGACATGTTTGCTCATTTAAAAGTTCAAATTTTCAGTTCATTGTGAAGTAGAGAGCTCTTTAAATTGATATAAAAAACATTCATTACAACTCGAGTTCAACCCTCTAATAATTGGACGAAACAAGTCTTCATGTTCATCGAGTATTGTAAAGTGCTAAAGTTAGGTAATTTCTTCGAATAAGTGCTTTAATGCTTTATAAATAGGCAAAGAATACCCTTGTGATTGGATCAGGGCCAATCTTGTGATTGTCGAGACTCAATGCAAAATCCATAAATTAGGCTTTCAAATCGACATCAATGTAAAATTCAACAATATATTATCCAAACATATTGCTAAGTTGAAACTTAACATTAAAACAACAAATAAATATATTATAAAATAACAAAACCAACAATGTTTCACTCATCGCACAAATATAGTTTTCAATATAGTTTCTATGTGCGCTTATACCATTGTTGATACTATAATAACCAATCATTTAAGCCGACGAAATCATAATTATATAAGTAGACAAGGTTTCAAACATTTCCAATACATTCAATAACAAGTTAGGGCAAGCCCCTCAGGGCACAGCCCTGTAGTGCAAAAGACATGAGTGAGATTATCTCACGCCTTGTTGAAGTGTTGGATTCGATTCCTAATACATGGAATTAGACTCCTTGTAGGCGCAGTGTACAGACAACTCTTGTTTCCTGACCCGTTAAGGCACATCCCTCGATTTACCTCCCTCACAAAGCTCTAAGGACGGGACAGTGGAGGCCCTCAAAGTTGGGATTCAACCTTTTAATAACAAGTTAGGGCAAGTCATTCATTGCTTACCTGAAAAGTAGAATTTTGACAAAAATTATGAAATCACACTTTTGAGAATTCCACTGTCATAACTCACAAGCTTGAAATAAAAATTTAACATCAAACACAAATACAAATATACAATTTTATTGCATTAATATATTCATTATAAATCTAGAATCTTATTGCAAATTGCATAAAGACGGGGTACAAGGATATGATGCTCAGAATGGGTTTTCATTCTATGATCACTATGATTGTGGATGGACAACAGGAAAGGTCTCAATTTAAGCGTGTCGAAAATTTCTAACAAAATCAAAATAAATAACTTCGATGTCCTTCAAATTTTAGATTTACGTAATGTCTCAAAGTACAACCTTTTTCTGTCATCAATCAAAGACCAAGCTGTGAAAATTGTGTGCAATTTAAAAAACTACTCATTAGCCAATATGAAAACTGATTTCTAAAGTTAATACATTATTAATCCAGAAGAGCTATAATTCTTAGAAAATTACATTGCACGGACTGATGACTTAAAGCAACAAATATAATAATATGGGTCTGCGCATAAAGAACTCTTAAACTTGGAAATGCAAGCTGTTGAGGCATATCAAATTACATAGCACATGGTCCATTTTTTTATTTATTTTTTTATTTTTTTAAGCAGCCAAATGAGAAAACACAAGCTTAAATTGATAAAAACCACCCATTCTAAATTAATCAAAGCCTAATTCTCAAAAATTAACGAACAGGATAAGATGCCAAAAAAAAACCCAAATTAAAGAAAAAATGTAAAATTGAAAATCCATAAGGAAAAATATACCTTTTAAAACAGTGAGTTAATGGGACAAACCATAGGGAAGTGAGTTAAAGTGTGGTATGTAGATGAGGAGCCGCCGCCTACGACGGTGGAGAAGAAAGAAGAGGAGAAAACGAATGAGAAAAACTCACTTCAAAAATAGAAAAAAAAAAAAAAAAACCCCTTTTATATTTTTAATTCATCGAATA